TTTTACCGTGATCGCTAATGGTTTTCAGTTAAAAACTTGTACAGTACAGATACTCGCTTTACGTTTCACTTTTCCGCTATTTCTCATTTACGCGTACCTTGCCAGAACCGGACTTTCACTTTCAGTGTGCATCTACTCATATACGTGAAGTATAATTTTTTTTATTTAGCTCATAAAATTCATTCAAATTACCGGCCAGAATATAATTTACATTGCTAGAATTTACAATATGATGATCATTTTGAATATAAACATCATGGATTTTGCATTAGACATAAAATTTTAGATCTAATGTAATAATTTGGTTTACACAAAGCAAATATTTTATTTTGTGCAAAATATATGAAGTTTACATTCAAAATATTCCCTGACCTGCAAGGAATCCAGAAATGTCAATTATATTATCCTAACTTTAGTCTGAGGTATTATTTATTACCAAAGTTAAAATCTAGTGTCACCCAAACATTGGTAGGGAGGAAGGTGGAGGTGGGGGAGGGTGGGACCAACCGACCAGCTGGCGTGAGTGTGAGGAGGGGGAGGCAAGGTGAGTACTTTGATTGACAGATAGTGTCTGTTTTCACCCAAACATTTCTCAGAGAGGTAGGAGCTAGTGAGCTGAAGAGGGGGGATTTGAGTCCATTATTTGAATGGACATTAACCTGGCGACTATATTTCTCTTAAATATTAATTGTGTGAACATACCATCATAAAATTAAGATGTTTTTTTACGACAACATAGGTATTGTGTCTGAAAAAGTGGAGTTTGGGGGTCGGGCCAGTCTCTTGGAATTAATCCCATATGTTCTGTTGTTCACTTTCCACGGTACCCTGTGGGTTCAATTGACCGCGTAAACGGGTACTACTGTATTACAATAATATTCTATCCTAATTCACTTGAATAATTACTACGATACCATATTTCTGAATATTTTCATAAAATCCATCAAAATACTTTTCCTTGTCATCGTCTTCAGCACACAGTTGCCAGTTTCAAGATTTTCCGTTTAAAATTTTAAGTTACCGAGTATTTCTTTTCCCAAATCGTTTTACAATACTGTAGGTAAAACAGTTTACTATTGTGCAAACCCCACAAAACAAAATTAACAAATGGAGACACCAAAAATGTAAAAAAAATGCTGTCTGATTTGCAACACTGTTGGTGAGGTCAGGTGGTTCTAACGGCATCCTGCCAGTACCAGGTAATCAAATTTATAACAGTGTCTAACCTCAAGTACTGTAGTTTATCTGATGTAGGCAATATGAAGCAGAAAAGACCAGTTAAAGTGAGAAATTGGAAGAGAATGAACAAGAAAGATGTCAGTTGTATTTTGGGTAGGGCTGAGGGAGAGAGTACCAGCTGTTTGGTCTTTTTTATGGCGGAGAGTCACGCAAATATCCGACTGGTATTTGTTTGGTGTCTTCTGTGTTTTTAAAAAAGAAGACTTGTAAATTAAAAGTACCGTAACATTGTATTATATACAAACTTGTCATATTTCTGGCAAATAAGAAGCAAGAAAATAGAATATACCAGTAAACACAATTTCAACGCATTTATAAAATTAAAGGCTGCTTAAGAAGGGCCGATGCATAAACAAAGCCTCCGCGACCAGGGCTCTGCAGATCAGCTAGACCGTATACGGTTTTTCGAATCGTTTTCAGTTAATAAACTGTTGCATCACTAAGTGAATTAGGATAGAATATTATTGTAATAACAGTTTTTAACTGAAAACCATTCGGTGTATACGTAACAAATTTTGAACTAAAGAAAGCGAAAGTCATTGTTGTCACGATTTTATCCCACTTTCCACTGTAATACATAAGTCATATCAGCAAAAAATATTACATTTCAATATTCTCAGAAATAAATACATAGTAGTTTTGCTGAAACGTAATGTATTTCAATGTAAATTAGGATAAACTACATGACGAAAACAAAAGACTTTACCTAACCTTCCGATGTTCAAGATATGTTAATCGTTTTTTTAATAGTTTTCGGTTAAAATACTGTTATATTAGTGATATTCTATTCATACTGTGCTTGATATAATACATTCACGGAAATGTAATATTTTTGCGGAATGACTTACGATTCCAGTGGAAAGTGGGATAAAATCGTGACTAAAGCAATGACTTTCGCTTTTCGTTCAAAAGATGTTACCGTAATCGCCAATGGTTTTCCGTTAAAAACTGTTGTATTACAATAATATTCCCTCCAATTGACTTGAATAAATACTTGAATGGAATTATACAATATTTTTGTTGAAACTACCCTCGTTTCAGTGTAAATTATGCGTAATAATAAATGGTAAACAATTTGCCTTCGCACTGTTGTTTAAGGCACAGTGAGCCTCAATTTATAGGACGTGGGGATGTTTTACTGGAGGTTTTGTTGTTCCAATACCCTCAAAAACTTGGGTTGACCTATAAACAAGGAATATCATAAATTAATGATTTTTGGTCAAAAATCAGGGTCAACCTACAATGCTGATGTCAACACAAGCGTGGTTACAGGGAGACTGATTGAGTGAGGGAGCACGGGGTGGCATGACGCGATGCGTGTGTGTGTGTGTGGCGGGCGGTGTGCAGTGTATGTACTTCAATTACTTCAATGTACAGAATATTCGTCCGTCGGGGCAATCCGCGTATTTGCAAATCCGTGTATGCTAAACCCGCATATGTTAAAGGGCCGACTGTATATATATAAAGAGAATAACAATTTCTTGAGTCCCTGAAGTTAATGTGGATCGTGGGAGCAGGTGAGGGGTTTGACATTGTGATCCCAACCAAGCTGTAATCTGCGTTATTGATATTTTCACGCAATTTCGGGTAAATATGCTTTTTATTTTGATACATGGCACAATCATTCATATATATTGTCAAAAAAATAGTTGTCATGAGGTATAAATCGTAAAGGGAATAAAAAATACTTATGTCCCCGGGAATCATTGGGAAGTTACGCGGTGCAGTATTGGTATCTCAGCGTTCTAAGCTGTGAACTGCGTTATTGTTATTTTTCAGTTTGTATTATCGGGTAGATATAGAGTGATATCTCCGTTAGAGCAATTGGTGCAGAGCACTTCCGGGAATGAGAGATTTCTGGGCAACGAGACGACTCTCAAAGCCGGAAATAAATCCTAGTCCTCGGAATTTTCTGGGTAACGGAAAAATTTTCTCGGAAGTTCCAGAAATTGCCCATTACATCATCTCTCGAACCTGGAAAAAACTCCCCCATCCCCGGAATTTTCCGGGTATTGGAAAAACTTTTCTCTGATACGTTCTTGGAAACGTGATGTTAACCGAAATGGACATTGTCCGAAATTACATAAACCCATGGGATTTATTCTAATTGGTTCCATGCACCCAACCCCAAGTTTCCCACTTACGAACATTTAGACCCACTAAATATATATAGAATGTTATGGTAAATATCATAAACACACATAGGCATGGCTAGGTTTATTACAAAGTGATGAAAAGGATACAATCAATGCTGTAAAGTGGGTAGTCCACAAAATATGTAGCTATGTCTCTTTATTTGAGTGCCCCATCAAAGGAGTCCGTTTTCTCTCACTTCAGGACACCTGAGTCATCCGTTTTCTCTTAATCTTAGAGTGCAGTGCACCAGAGACTTCGTTATTCCTTAGTAATGACACAGAATTTGATATTGCAACTGGGGTTGCAATTGTTGAGATTTAACTTAGATATGTCTGATTACAGTTGGAATATTCAAGATCCATTGTGAGTGATGTTTAAAGGTTCAACTGTCTTTATGGTTGGTAAACTTGTCAAGTCTGTCAGTCTGAGTGGCATGTGTGAGGCCTTGTGTTTGTACAACCGCTAAATCTATAAATATATAATGTTATGGTAATTATCAGAAACACACACACACACACACACACACACACACACACACACACACACACACACACACACACACACACACACACCCACACCCCAACACACACACACACCCCCAACACACACACACACACACACACACACACACCCAACACACACCCACACCCCAACACACACACACACACCCCCCAACACACACACACACACA